TTGGAATTTTTTTTTTAAATCTCCAAAAAAATTTTCAACCGACATCCGTTGGAATTCCGTTGGAATTTTTTTTTTAAATCTCCAAAAAAATTTTCAACCGACATCCGTTGGAATTCCGTTGGATTTTTTTTTTTAAATTTCCAAAAAAATTTCCAACCGACATCCGTTGGAATTCCGTTGGAATTTTTTTTTTAAATCTCCAAAAAAATTTCCAACCGACATCCGTTGGAATTCCGTTGGAATTTTTTTTAAAAATTTTCAAAAAAAATTCCAACGGATATCCGTTGGAAATACCGTTGGAAAATTTCAACCCTAATTTTTTCAATTGAATACGTTGAAAATTCCGTTAAAAATTTCCAACGGGCGATTCCAACGGATATCCGTTGAAAATTTTCAACGGATTTTTAACGGAAATCACCGTTGAAATGCCGTTGAAAACCGTTGAAAATCCGTTGAAAAATTTCCAACGGATAAATCCGTTGGAAAATTCGTTGGAATTTGCTGATTTTTTTGTAGTGATACCGTTATCCAAATAAATACTCGAATCTAGATTAGAAAAGAGTTTTGCTTTCTTTATTATCAATTGAATTATCTAATTTTAGATACAATAATATATTATTATTAGTTTAATGTTTCTGTCGATAAATTATATAAATTAACAGTGCAAATATCTTACAAGTACGTGGGCTATAATCATGTGTTTTTTTCTCTTGATTGATAGAAATCAGATTACAAAAAACGGACCAAATATTGATACATCAATTACAGTAATTTTTATATGTATTTAACCATTTCTTTCTTAACCGACACAACATTTATGTCTTAACAATGACATACGGTACCTAATCTGTGAAGCCGCCGAATGACCAACAGTGTTCACACGCGACCGAGTGGAGTGAGTCAGTGGTCCGAGTCTGGTCAAGATTTACGCTTTCTTTTTTTCCCGCGTGGCCCACTTTCCTTTTTATTCTCCAAGTACACCAAATTTCCACGTTTTAAAACCGCCATATAATTATTCGGCACAATTTATTCGTATGACAAAAAATGTTAGATGTTATAAAAAAAAAGTGTCTCTATAAAATTTGATAAATTTTTTTATAGAGTTATAAATGAAATGGGAAATAAAAATTTGAAAAATCCACGGATGGCCATTGGCCACCACGATTCAAAGCTAACAATAGCCAAGAGGCAATTTCCAAGTTCCAACTATCCTGTTTTTTTTTTCGCAAGAGTTCGGGCTTGTAACCTTAACTAATATGAAAGAAACTTATTCCTATATTTTTTTATTAATTTAATTTACCGCCTAATTTTTAGTTTTGAAATACATCAAATCAATATGATTTACCATTAAATAAAATTTTAATTCGATTTTACAATTTAATACAATAAAACTTTCTCACATTTCTTAACTCATTTTATGTAAGGAAAAAACAATGTGCTTTAACAAAAAAAAAAAGAGAGGAAAAAAAAACCAATGTGGGCATTATGGGGTATTTTTGTTTTTTGTTTTTAAATGAAAAGAGGATGAAGAGAAAATATAATTTTTGCCGACCTCCCGAGTCAATGAGTCAAGTCAAGGAATCGCTCGTATGGATCATGAGATAAAATATCATATATTTAAATAAATTGACAGAATTACAAAAACATGGATCCCATCATATGAAAAACAATGCCATAATGTCCCCAATTTCTTCACTAATGGAACATCTCGCCGACTTTGTTGATTTTCCTTTGCATTTTCTTGGAAAAAAATTTATTCCCTATATTCAATATTTTTATCAAATTTAAAAAAATTCCCTCAAATGCTAAAGTTATATATATCCACCAATAATTTATCATTTTGTTTAATGTTTATTTTTTTGCAATTTGTATATACTTATATTGTTTGTATATATATGGTTATCGTCGAATCACAAGATTAGATCTATAATGTAATAAAATAGTTCCATGAGCCAAATAGAACTTTTGATATCGAACTAACAGTGATTGTTCTATAATATCTTTAGATCGTTACGAAATGTTGAAATTATCTTTTCTAATCAACACGAGATATTTTATAAGAGATTACTCATCTTCAAATTGCTCCAATATGAACATATTTAATTTTGAAATTATCTCAAACTAGATAACAAAAAAGTAGATATATCTTGTTGATATGAGTAGTTCAATCAATTTTTTTACATCATTGTAGATTATATAGTTTTATACCTAACAGTACTCATCAAATGTCTCTTATTTTAATGATCCTTACATCGTTTATATAGAAATTTGTATGGAGCGACTCTTTATCCGTACCTTTCGCACTTTTAATCACTCTCTATCTTCATCGATATTCGAATGTTTCAACCGGGAAATAATCTATTCAAGATCTCACCTGATCACTCAAATTAGTGTTCGAAATTATACGAAATGAATAAAATTCAAATATTTTAATTCCACATCGTAAATAAAGCCGAATGATTTTTTTGTATATTTTTCATATGGTCGTGTCCATAATTGATTTTAAAATATATATTCAAAAGACACAAATATGAATCCAAGAAGATAATTTATGGAAATTAGGTTATCGGATATTTAATTTTTTCCCGTTTCAGTTGGTTTGAAGAAACCTTGAACTTGTCTTTGATTTGTTTTGTTCCACACAGTCTAGACACGCAGACTATCTTTTATATATAATAATATAAAGTTTGTTGTTTTAATATAAGATTTTTATAATTAAATTGTACATAAGATTCGTTACGGAAATTTCAGACACGTTAAAGTTTTTCAAGGACAGTTTCTTTTTGTCTTCAATTAGACAGCTCCTTGCCTCCACTTTCCAACGATCCCATACACTCTCTCCCTGGTTTCTGTTCTATAAATACCGCCATGATACAGGCAAGACTTGGTCCCTTATCCCAATACAAGACTTTGGTTTCTTTAGCACAATCTCCTTTTCTTCTTATAACTCTACTTCATGGATTGTTCATCGTATCCGGACACTGCTCTCGATCTCAATACCAACCCTATGGAGCTTGATTTCTCTGGAAAACGTCCGGTGAGTTGGAACTTCCCCGGTTTATGCAAAACCCATTTCGGAGTTTTCCATTGTTCTCCTCGGTTTTCATGAACTGGGTTATGGTGATTTAATCTTGGATTGCGTAATTTTCGACGTTGCAGAAGAGGGAAGAGCCGAATACTGCTTCTGCGGATATGGAGATGAAGTGGCCGGTGAAAGCCGAGGTTAGTTCTTTCATCGAACAACTGGTGTGCAACGAATTTGAGTTCATGTTCTCAAATCTGTAGGTGCACATAATTTCTATGTAACCCAGAAATTGAAATTTCATAAATGGCAAGAAGGGTTTCATGATCTGTGTATTTAGAGTTAAGAAGCATCATTTCCATCTTGTAATGATTGGTGGTTATGCCAATGAAATGTATCCTCACACTGGTGCTGTAGGTCAAAGAAGTTCATAGCTTCAATAGTTAGTCAGCTCAATAACTGGAAATAGATAGGATTGGTCTGAGTTAGAACCGGAGATAATTCATATATGTTACAGTACTAAGATCTCAATCTAATAGATTATAGATAATAAAGCAAAAAAAAAAAAAACTTTTCAAGGGAATGGTTTCCTGTATGCTTTGAAACTTTATGTTAATGGTAAGTTGACCTTCTGGTTTTGGAACAGGGCTCTAGTATGTTAAAGGAGGAGCTAAATCGGGTTAGCACCGAGAACAAGAGGCTAGCCGAGATGCTAACGACGGTCTGTGAGAATTACTATGCTCTGTATAACCATTTGGATGAGTTGTTGAGTAGAAAGGGCACTGAAGATGACAAGAGAGAATGGTCCATGAAGAAAAGAAAGCTTGACCTGGATGAGTTTGTAGGTTGCACGATTGGATTCGGTAGTGGAAAAACCGAGAGCATCTCAAGCGACGAAGATCATCATCATCCTCATCCTCATCATCATGGTGATCATTGTGAATCATTTAAAGTTACTGAAAGCATTGGAAAATCGAAGGTTTCCACATTCTACGTGCCTACAGACATATCTGATACAAGCTTGGTAAGCATTCACTGAATTATCTCTCTTATGCAACAGAGTTGTGTTACCAAGTGAAATTTATCATTGTTTCTGTTTATTAAGAGACACAGAAGAATCAATTAATGAGTGTTTGTCGAATACTGCAGACTGTGAAAGATGGATATCAATGGAGGAAATATGGGCAAAAGGTCACGAGAGATAACCCCTCCCCCCGAGCTTACTTCAGGTGCTCTTTCGCTCCATCTTGTCCCGTCAAGAAGAAGGTATGTACTGAAAATTCTGGAACAAAACAAAGACTTCGATACATCTGTTTCTTTGGACACAAAATCTTTCTCAGACTCGGTCTCAAGACATCTTTTTTTGTCCACTTTAGGTGCAAAGAAGCGGGGAAAATCCGTTGTTCCTGGTGGCAACTTACGAGGGAACCCACAATCACCCGAGCTCGAACCCTTCTGGAGGAGATATGCCGAGCCAGGCCGGGTCCAACAGGGTGGCTCTTGATGTGGTTCAAAGCGGTCAAAGACCAGTTCAAGATAAGAAGGAAACAACAATACAAGAGGTTCTAGTTCAACAAATGGCCTCTTCCTTGACGAAAGATCCTAATTTCACAGCAGCTCTTGCGGCTGCAATTTCTGGGAGATTTTTGGAGCAGCCAAGGACTTGAAAATGTCCATTGGAAATCCCCCCCCCCCCCC